AAAAAAATACCAAATGTCTTCATTTAGATGTGGAATATTTAATTTGCTCTTTAAATCAAGTTCTTAGAACCTATATTCTTTGTGCAAGGGAATCTTACCTATGCAACTCCTTTGAAAAAAAGCTCCCAACACACAACAAAGTCAAAGTGGCACGTATAAATCCCACCCAAACTGAGTCCAGTCCCACAATAAGATTGAAACTAATTTTGAAATTGTGTTTTGGATATTACATAAAGTGCAACCTAATGGTACTGGACATGTTTTGTTGGGGTGGTCAGGTAGGGAAACTGTACTTGACACAGAAACTCCACCAAGGCATACACAATAGTCTAAATATACAAAAATTAGAACTGTATTAACAAAGTATGTCAAGGACAAAAAAAATAGCTGCCAAACCCCAGATTAACAATTTTTAGCTCAACTCCAATAGAAGTTAAAAAATAAAAAAAAAATAAAAAAAAAAATTCTGGAAGTACATTCATCATTCAAGCTCAATGGTTACCTCCTAGTAATAAGAACTATTTGCAGATATCACAAATATTAATTTATGATAAAAGGGAAAAATACAGTTCAACAAAAGAAACTGCATTTGCTTCTGTTAAATCTTGATATTTAAGCTCTGACAGTTTACAATTAAAAACCACAGTTGCTAGTTTTATGCAACTCCAGAATGATTTCTACCAATCCGTTTTTCATGACAAAAAGTGGCATTAACAGATATGTACTACTGCCAACTTTATTTCAGTTGCCACATTTATCTTCTCTATTTAAGCCTTTGACTCCCCAGCTCAAGGTATGTTACTACTTTTTTAGAATATAGCATCATCAAAGTTGGAAAAGACCCCTAAGATCATCTAGTCCAAACAAATAACCCAGCATGCCACTTCGTATTTAGTAGACTACAGAATTTAATTTGTTCTCTCAGTGACAGAAAAGCCTAGCATGTAATACATGACATTTCAAATACTGTAAAACTATAGGAATGTTTTCACTTTGGAGTAAATTACAGTTTACGTGATTTCTAATGAGTTTTGTTCTGTTTGACTTCTGCAAATTAGCTTACATGAATGAACGTCACAAGAAAATCTGGAAACTTAAACCTGAGAGTAGGCATAAGAAATGGAAGCTGGGCAGACCAGCAAAGTCTGCTGGGTTTCAATTTGAGTGTACATGTAGTGGGAAATTCCAAAAAGGAAAAAGACTATTGCAGCAAAAACAATACGTAGAGTTCCTTTTTCCCCCTAGTTCCAAATATAAGGAATCATGAGCAGCTTGGATTACCAGTCCTCAAACCAGCGTGTTAAAGGGGAATGCTCACACATATTTTAAAGCTTTTAGCAGCACACTAAAGGAAGCATAATTAACCTGCTACTTGGTAGCTATCCACATATTTGATGCATGCAAGATTGCAGATACATGAAATGAAAGAACATTTTAGTATGTGAATAATCAGAAAAGAACCAATCCTTGCGTCATACACTCATTTACAAGTCTTCAGAAAATGAGTCTACTGTTCAGAGGAGGAAGAGAATGACAAAGCAGGATGGTGAAGAAAAATTGACCACAAATTTTACTGGCAATAACACCTAAATTTAGCTAGGAGACAGAAAAAAGTGAGAGGCCACGTTTTTTACAATAAGGTCCAAAATCCAGCTACATTTCCTGAACTTGAATAATACTTACTGAAACAAAAAATTTCTACCAGTGCAAGGACCTGCATGTATTTGTGTTCCCTACATCGAAATAATACTCACATGTCATACGAGGAGCTAATTGCTGCAGCAGATTTCCTTTGCTTTTATAAGATACAAATGAAAAATACAAACATACATTTACTATCACCTTTTAAGATTACGACAGAGCAGAATTACCAGTCTGGCTTACTGCTTATTAAGAGTTGGTTCAACTGCACATCATAAAAACTGCAAACATTACTACCATCTAAAATTAAAAAGGCAGCATGCCAGCTGCAGAAGGAATCACACCAGTTCTCCCTCCCAAGGCCAGAGTTACCTGTCATTACTTACCTAAGTTCATTTCAGATGCTAAAAGAAGAAAGTAATTCATTACATACTGCAGGACCATTGAAATGCAAGCATTCACTGAGTAAACAATCCCAAATCTAGAGCAGTAACTCCAGTTACTCAGTAACAGTAAACTTCAACACAAAACAAACGCTCACCTTCTTTAGCGATGGCGATATTCTCTCTCTCTGTCCCGTTCTCTGTCACGATCTCTATCACGATCACGATGTCTCTCTCTTTCTCGGCTTCTTTCCCGATAATAGTCATCGTGGCGATCTCTGCTACGTGATTTATGGCGTCTACTTTTTTCTCGTGACCTACTGTGGTCCCTCTCCCTGGATCGTTCACGTCTTCTAAAAAAAATTACTTCATTACTTTCTTTTTCCCCCCCCAGAACACGAGCCACCCGCACGCCTGTTTTGTATTCGGTTGATCGGTACAACTTGGATCAAAAAAAGACATGAGAGAAATCTCTTCTCAGCCATGAAAGAAACGTCTCTGCACTGTGATGCAGATATTTTTTATGTAACAGGGAAGATGGCTGGGGTGGCGGCTAAGAACAGCTAACGGATAGTAAGATGTCATCCACTTCCAAACAAAGGAAAAGTCAGAAATTACACATTCAGAATGAAGGACAAGACAGCTAACACCAGCTGGAGAATGTGATGCGCCTCAAACGATTCCTACATCACGGCTGCTCACTGGCATTCTGAAAGTGCGGGCCAAGATCAGCTGCCCATGTTTTTATTACTCAATGTCAGCTATTCTACTCCTACAACATCCAAATAAATCCAAAGAAGTTAGAGGCTCAGTGGTTGTTGCAACTCTGAAAGGGTTGTGAATAAGCAGTGTGTAGCAGGCTGTGAGTTTTAAACCTATTCTCAATTTTTTGACTGCATGAGGAGGAATAAGAGGAAAAATCATTCCGGCCAACCTCCTTCCCTTGCCAAATTTGACAGGTGAAGAGAAAGTTACTACTAAGCAAAATAAAACTGGTAACAAATACCCTCTAACTTAATTTTCAATAGAAAACAATGATAGAAATGATATATGTGATATATATTATATACAATATATTACATCTGAATTGATGAAAGTAATTCAATTCTGAAATTTACTTTTTGCAATACTACCATACAGAAAAGGACACAAACTATAATAAGTTAAAAAGCTAGCCAGATCCACCTTAAAAACAAGAGTCAGTTAACAGACTATTTACATTCAAAAGTTGTATTTGGCTCTTTCACAAATTTCTTGTGCAGCTGAGCAAATCACTGAGCTTCTCACATGACTCAGATCCTCCTCTGTGAACTAGTCTTGTCCTACACCTTTCCCTTCAGAAGGGTGGATGGAAAAGGAAAGCTTTACCTGGATCCAGAACCATAGGACTTGGACTCGATTCCATGAAGGCAGTCTTGAAGAGAGCTAATAAGTACTTTACAACGATCATCAGCAGATACTTTGGACTGTTTAATTAAGGAAATTGCAGTTACCAGGGTCTCTATAGCACTTCCATAGTCCCCTGAAAACGATACAAAATCATGAGATTTTTATTTGTAGTAATAATACAGTTTGGAATATTTTCCTTCAATAGCCTTCCAAATCATTTACTACAGGACTAAACATTACAACACTGTCCAGATCAGTACTCAGAAGACACTCTCAAACATCAGTACAAAAAGAGTCATAGGTTGTACCCAAATTCAACCTCCTAGTAAAAGGAAGTGGCTTCAAGGCCGCAGGCTTCCTAACAGGAAAAAAAACTGTAAACTCCTTTTGCTTGGGCAGAATAGAAAGCAAGTCTTACTAACCAGCACTGGCATCTGATACAGCTCTTGAAATGGCACTGCTTGAGATTGCCCTATTTCTGTTCATGATTTCTTCAAATTCTGCTTCACTCAGAGGTGTCCTTGCAGCATCCATCTCTCTGCAAGCAATAAAAATTAGTATTTAAAAGGTTAAGAAAACATTAACGAAACATCATTGCAGTTTTAACAATCCAAGTTTGCAACTTTAAGCAAAATGACAAATAGAAAAGAAAGCAGGATCTGGGTTTGTGTTAAGGACCATGTTACAGTATAAAATCCTGAAAGCTTGAAAATAAATAAGTTAAAAAAAAAAAAACCAACAATTATCACATCTGCTAAATGAGTAAAGTTATTCTTGTTCTACCAATCTAGTTTGAAGATTCAGCAGCACTTAAACGTGCTTTACAAATATTTAATGTTTTCATAAAATCCTTCAAGGTATCTAAGCAGACATTACACCAGCTAAGTGGATGCAAAAAATACACATATACATGGGTAATGCAACTTTCAGCAAAATTAGAAATCTTTTTATGACAATCTTGGAATTACAACTATATGATCCTGTTTCCCAGATTCTTAACTAAGACCAGAGGGCTGTAACTTATAAGAAGCAAATAAAGTTTGTCATCGTTAAAACGCTCAATTTTCTGAATGACACCAACATTTTACAGCTAATTCTAGCTTTTGTTTCTGGTCAAGTTCAAGGTGCTCCAATTTTATCTCCCAATCTTAGAAAGGAGAAAGCAATTAAAGTGAATGCTTACACTCATTATACTTTTAAACTCTATTAGCTACCTATACACAGATTCTAAAGTACCAAAATTTACTCATACAAAAAAGTTTCCCACAAGTTTTGCAGTGTTCTATTAGCCAGTCTCTGAATCATATAGAAAACCTGAAGAAACGTGTTAGAGACAAAAGTTGAGACTGTCAAATTGATCCACTGCTTGATATTTCTAAAACAGTGTTAGTTCCTCTGGTAGAAAGAAAATGCAGAATAACAAGCAATACTATCCTCTTAAGTGCAAGAAGTGGAACAAGATCCTATAGCCAGTTTAGCATAAGAGGAAATGTCTAAAAATTCATACCTCCCTGAGTTTTGAGTATTATTTTTCGTGTGCCTCCCATAGAATGGAATATGTAATTTTTCTCTTATGGACATGTTATTTCCAGTGAAACGCCTATGATATATAATTAATGACAATTTAAATAGTTATGGATGATAGTCTTAACATTTTTAATGAAAATAGTGGACAGAAGTTCTTCTGTCCTATCCCCACTCCTTCCCTCCCCAGCCATTCTATAAACTGCAGACAACTTAGATTTTGTCCATCAAAAAATACAAAGCACCTTATTATTTCCAGGCAATTAAGCCAAATGCTCGAATTTCTACAATTTCTACAGGAACACAGTATGTACAATTGTTCTGTTTTTTTGAACTTTGTGCTCATATGTAAAAGGAAGAATCAAAGTGCCTCTGCAGAAAACACTTTACGCAAGAGAAGACTCTCTCAAATATATCAGTAAAATCACAAGTGAAAATTCCACATGTAACTATGTAGAAAATCTCTCTCTTAAAATCAGACCCCAAAAGTTCTACAGAATACAAGTATGGTGAAAATTAAGAAAACAGTGGCAAGACAGAGATGCTTGAAAGCACAGATGAAAAAGATGTTTCAAACAAGATGCGAAACACTTGACTAGTCAAGTCAGAGGGAAAAAAACCCTGACCCAGATTGGATCAACTACAGAAAAGGCCACTGCTACAAACACAGAAAGACTGTACAAAATTACAAGTAGCTTGACAGGAAAGGAAAACAGAAGTCTTGCAACAAATTCCCACCCGGCTTTTGAGACAAAAGCTAACTTTTAATTGAATCCTTAAGAAAAAAGGAACAAGCAGGACTGCCAGAAGATGAAAATGACACGAGCTTGGTGCGGCACCATCCTCAACACATGCACATATTCAAAGAGAAGAACTCCAGAGCATTTTACAGTGACAGCTTGCAAGGCAAGATGGTGAAGGGACAAGTGAGAATTTCAAGTTATGACAGAAGCACAACCAGAAGCTACCAGCAGGAAGTGATATAATAAGCTAGCATGTAGAACACACAGAATAATGGTACTGTGAACAATGTACACAAACAGTTAAAAGCTGAAAATGAAAAGTAAGATTACTAGCATTGCATTTTAGGATTTTCTTACTGCTACAAGCACATTTACGAGTTCATATACTAAGAAGTAAATAGGCAAATCTCATGATTGCAGGGATCCCCTCCAGCTTTTTTTTTTTTTTTTTTTTCCCCCCTTCTTTACTTTTTCTAACATTTGCATTAAAAACGAAACAAAACAAAAAAAATTATGTGTTTCCTACAAGGAATAAAGTTATATATAAAGCACGTTGCACCAAAAACACTCACCTTCCAGGTGGCCCATAGTCACCTCTGTCATACGGTGGAGGTCGGCCATACGGATCTGTTGGAGGTGGGCCACGGCTGTCTGAAGTAGGTATGCCACTATTGGCAGGTGGGGGGAAGAAAGCTGGATTCACATGCGGTGCGGGTGGTGGAGCACCTGGAGGTGGCCCAGGGAGATGTGGAGGAGGAGCAAGAGTCAGGGGTGGCCCGAGAGGGCCAGGTGGACGAGGGGGAAATGGACCCGGAGGTGGAGGTGGACCCTGCTGAGGTGGTGGCGGACCCGGTGGCGGCCCATAGCCTGGAACTGGTGGTGGAGGGCCTGGAGGAAGTGGCCCAAGTGGAGGCTGACCAAAAGGCTGTCCTGGAAACAGAACTGGTGGTGGTGGGCGGTCACCACGATTAGGAGGTCCAGCTAAAGGAGGTGGGAGGACCTGACCAGGAGGTGGGGGGCCTGGTGGGCCCGGAGGACCGGGAGGGCCTAAAGGTGGACGTGGGGGAGTTTGTCCAGCTACAAAAAAAAAATAGAAAAAAAGTTAATAAAGAAATAAAACAGTCACAGAAATAATTAAGATTCTTGTACTTTTTTTTTTTTTTTCCTTCTCAGACAAAAAACCCTCACTGAACAATCCACAACTTGCACAAGACATGCACAGTCCCACTTTCGGGTCCAGTAGCTTACATAAATTTATAATTGGTGATCTATACTGAAAGAGAACAGTAACCTGAAAACAGGTGCAATGTATATTCAAAACGCATGAAAAGCTATATTGGAGAAAGTACAGTAAATGCAGCACTCAAAACGAATTTCATGTCCTTGTTAGGGGTTTGCTGCTTTTTTTTTCTAATTATTATTTGTTTGTTTTATTTTATTTGACTGTGTTCCTTTGACTGCTAGTAGAAAATACACAGAATGACATTCATTAAGAATATTGAAGCTGAAATGAGAACTTCACTGCAATACAAACCTGACATTTAAACAGAGATTTGTCCCATGTCAGATATCTGACTATATATGAACACCTCCACTTCAAGTTTTTGGCACTCTAAGTGCCTGCTAACTGACCTTGACTTCTGTAATTCCCAAATAAGCACACTGCATTAACAAAAGAAAATAAACATTAAACTGAAACCCTATACACTAAATATTTTACCTGGGAATGGTGGTGGTGGCCCTCCTGGCCCTGCTGGTCCAGGGAATCTGTCTCCACCTGGAATAGCACCGGGGAAACGGCCTCGCCCTCTATTACTAGGTGGAAATGCTGCTCTTGAGCTTCCTCCTGGTGGACCAGCTTTACCTTCCCCAGACATCTGGCCAGACTGTGTGGCTGCAGTGGAAAAAATTAATTATGTAGATCAAAACAGTTTAAAGCTCTTCAATTCTTGATCTAAAGTTTTATGTAGCACTAAAGCACCACTATGATCCTCAGTACCAAAAAGGAGCAAATGCTTCACTAAGATTCAATAGCATTCCAGTATCCCCACACCACACTAAAGGAACTTGAGAAACTGTCAGTCCATGAAGTTAGTCTAATCTGCCTATAAATGCTGTACCTTTAAATATTCTCATGCTTTTTTAAAATTAAATCCACAAGAAGGAATTGAGAAAGCTTCTCCAACCTTAAGAAGAATTTTACAAAGCTGCATGATAAGCGCTTCCAACAAGTCCCATCTCCTAGTAAAATCACAGACATTCATTATATTGAATGAGTTCTTTTATTTTCAGTTTTTAAGAGGATCTTCTATTTTATTTTTTTTAAGCAAAGTTGCAACTTCATCCGCTTAAGTATTTTACAGAAATTTTAAACTGTGCAGAAATTATCAAATACTGAGAGAAAAATTGCAGGACAACTTTTGGAATAAACTTCCAATTCTTTCCACAACGGCACATGAGAGAGACTTACTTTTCCTTGACTGCATTTCAAACTGACTCAGAAATTGTTTATTGCATGGAGTCACAACAGGATTCTGCCCATGCAATTCTCTTTTAGGCAACAAATCCATCAACTTTTTGGAGGATGCTTCCGATCCCACACCCACAAGGGCAAACCTGAAAAGAAGGAAAGAACAGTCACACTGCAGTTTTTTTGTTCCCTGGACATCCTGATACCTCACGAGTAACATTTAACACAGTTAGCAGAAGAATATTTGAAATACAGAAACTTTCACAAGTCTTCTTCCAGTTTTAGAGATAGACAAAGCAATTCATTCTAGGACACAGATGAAGAACCACAATGTAAGTCCAAGATACAGCAACGCAACGAAGGTAGCTTTCTCACACAGTATCAATATACCATCCAGGGATTATTATAACCAAGTTGTCATTAACAATTCACTGTATTCTCATTGCTACTCTCATTAGTAATAGTGAGAGCAAAGTCAAGTAACGAAGATTAGATTGTCAGTGAGGAATCAAGTCAAGTGCTTGCTTTCAACAGTTAATGGAAAAACAAGCATTTAAAATCATTCAATAACAGGGATGGGATAGGTAAAAATAGCACTTATATTATGAAGAACAACATACATCACCACTACACTAACTGAAACTTAGGAATAGTCTTCATGTAAATCATAGAATCATAGAATGGCCTGGGTTGAAAAGGACCACAATGATCACGTAGTTTCAACCCCCCTGCTCTGTGCAGGGTCACCAACCAGCAGACCAGGCTGCCCAGAGCCACATCCAGCCTGGCCTTGAATGCCTCCAGGGATGGGGCATCCACAGCCTCCTTGGGCAACCTGTTCCAGTGCAAATGCCAATATAATTTAACTCATTAAATAGTAGGAAGTTAATATCCCCATAAAATTTATGCCTGGAATTTAATTAGTCCGAAATAATACACCCAATCATTGTTGGATATCAATACACAAGGGCCATAAGTTCACATACTGACAGAAATATTAGAACTCTTTCCTCACTTAGACCCTCCTAAACTTCAGCCAATTTACAGAAAAAGCAGACAAGAAGGCCTTACCCTTTAGATTGGCCATTAGCACGGTTTTCAAAAAACTTTATCTCCAAAATATCATTTACCCCCAATGAATGAACCGCTTCAGTTAAGTCTTCATCTGTTGTCCACTGAAAAATATAATATTCAACTAAGAAATCTTACCAAAAACACTTTGACACTTTTCCACGCTCTTTATTTTCTACTATAAGTGGTGAAGAGGAATACTTTACACAAGTTGTCAGTATTTTCTGACTCCCAGAGGACCCTCATTTATACTGTACTGTGCCCAGAAAATCCATTTTTGAAGTATGCACTTCCTCACACACCATGCTGTCCAAGCCCCTTCACACAGCAAACCAGCTCACAGGTACCAAAAAAATTCCTGAGTAACTTTCTGAAAGCACTTTTCCAAGAATATTAAGCCTAAACTGAATCACTTAAATAACTGCCACATTTTTTGACATCCAATCCATTTTTTTTTCTCCCACTGACTCTACTTCCAAACCCCAAAATCAATTTTTATGATCATATTAACACATTTGCTCACTCCAAGAGCTTTAACTAGTGAGGCCCTACTGAACCACATATTATTTTGCACAAAAATAGCAATATTTACAGACAAAAACAGGAAACGAGCACAGAAAACATAGCAACAACTATTTAATCTTAAATCTCCTTGCTGTAACTTTCCATTAGTTACTATCTAACATTCAACAATTACACATACACTCAAAGGGATACAAGACATTTATACTCAGAGTTTTCTTCCTCTTCCTGTAACTCCATCACCTCTTTAAATCCTATCTGGGAAGTACAAAGCAGGCTTTCAAGATCCTGAAATACTTATCTGACCTTCCTCAAATCAAGGCTTCTTTTAAAAAATTAATAAATTACTTTGCTGAGATCTAAACACAAAAAAAAAAACAAATACAATAGTAATGCTCAAACAAGTTGAGTCTACTTTTAGTGGATAACTTCATTTGCGAAGCCTAACAATGAGCAGCAGGTACAAATTACTGCACACTGGCCTACCTACTTTAGAAATTGCCACATTTGACTTGGATGAGCTCAGCTGATTGCATTCCTGCATTTTAGAGAGGTACAACTGTTAAGTCAATTAACTCCCTTAGAGCCATTAGTTCCTGAAATTAGGTTACTGTACTAATTAGTGAAAAACACTTAAGAATGCCTAAATCATTCTTTTTCAAGCTTCCACCTAACAAAAATTTCTTCAAGAAGGGAAAAAAAACATGTAAGAGATTTTGCTTGCATGGACTCAATGAAATGGATTTCAGGTAAAGAGAGACCAATTGCAGTTAATTTAGCTGTTCAAGAGCTACTTGCACTTTTGTTGTTTAACTACAAATGATTTTAAAATACTTTATTGCTGACTAAAGGAATTGTCTGAAGGGAAATGGTAGTTCAGTGAGTTACCCTAGAGATGTTACTCCCAGGAATGCAAAAAGAAGCCTAGAGGCAAATGAAAACAGCTTTGTTCCAAGAATCAAAAAGGAAACAGGAAAAAGACAAAAAGTAAGAAAATGCCAGATAACCTTGTTTTCTTCTTCGTCTAAAAACTTCAGGAAGGGCTCACTGAAAACTGGATTTGTTTGACAGTTTTAAACTATCTCCAAGATACTTGGTATCTTAAGCTTATTCTCCTTCTTCATTATATTCTTTGAAAAGACAGCTCTTCAAATAAAAAATATTTCACGACAAATCACGTTTGCAATTTTCAAATCGCTGGCCACTCCTGGATAGGAATAAGATACTCACCCAAGTAAGGTTTCCAATGTACAAGGCAATTCTCTTTCCAGTATATGTGTAGACAACATTTGGTGCAGCTCCTTTACCTACATCGTCTCCAACTGAAGGTGGGAGAGAATCCATATAGTCACGATCTTCTGGGGCATCTCCATTATTCGCAGACGGAGAGATTACATCATCGTACAGATCAATCTGATCATGTCCACCATATTCAGCTTCCTAAAATACACAAAGCACCTGGGTTATATTTAACATTAAACACTTCTCAGAAACAAAATAGTCTGACAACTGCCACGTTCCATAGACAGTTTGACCCGACACCTACACAACATCCGTAACGAAAAGCTAAGCCCCGACTTCAACCACATTTAAATATATAAAATTCTTATGTCTTCTACCGTATTCCAAACTGATAAAAACAAAAATACACCTCCAGCAACTGCTTTGCACTGCAACACTCTTTACCTTGTAATATAAGCAGAAAACTAAAAAAACACAAGCTCTACTCCCACAATTACAGATGTGAACAAGTATGAGCAATGTGCAAAACAACAGGCTAATATCAGCACGCAATTTTTGTCATGAAAATATTTGGTAGAAGGAAAAGATCAAACCTGAAGTGGTCTGCACTGATAAAATTCCGCATTTCAGATTTCTACTGCATTCCTAATTTTATTTTTATCTCCTCATTCACAGAGTGAAAGAAAGGAATTCTATTTTATGTCATTAAATTTAACAAACCATTGGGTTTGTGTGCATTGCACATTTATTTACTCCTGAGCTACAAAGGAACTATTCTACAATATCAAGGCTGCCTCTGGAACACTCTGGTTGAGAAGAGTATCATGGGATTTCGGAGTGAATCACCTTGTCCCCCAGGTTGGTACAGTTTACAGCACAGTTTTGTCCAAGTGAACTAGATCTCTTTCAGAGGGAACAGAATCATGAGTTTATTTACAAAAGCTCTGCTTCATGCACTTGACAACTGCATACTACCTGTTAAATGGGAACAAATGAGTCAAAATCAACCCGTGGCCCTTCAGATACCTTTGAACTGTAAGACAGGATGAAGTATTTGATCCAAAAGACCAGAGGAAATTTAGCCCGAGGCAGACCATGTAAGCAATGCATTAGGGGAAAAAAAAAAGTAATAACAAAGTATAACCCCAACACTTCCCACAGTGCATTTAATTTCATACACTTCCATTCATCATACATTGGACAAGGTCCAGAAGAGGCCATGAGGACGATCAGAGGGCTGGAACACCTCTCCTACGAAGGAAGGCTGAGGCACCTGGGCTGTTTAGCTTGGAGAAGAGCAGGCTTCCAGTACCTGAAGTGGGCCTACAGGAAAGCTGGGGAGGGACACCTTAGCAAGGAGAGTAGGGATAAGACAAGGGGTAATGGCTTTTAACTACAAGAAGGTAGGTTTAGACTAGATATAAAGCAGAAATTCTTCACAATTAATGTGGTAAGGCACTGGCATGCCTTGCTCAGAGGAGCTGGCTCAAGGCCAAGCTGGATGGGCCCTGGGCAGCCTGAGCTGGTGAGTGGCAGCCCTGCATACTGCAGGGGCTTGGAACTGGTATAATTGGAAGGTCCTCTGCAACTCAAACCATTCCGTGATTCTGTGATATTCTACAATGATCAATTCCTATGCTGGGATGTTGCTGAAAAAGAGGCACCATCTCGATTTCTACTGACAGGAAGCCAGACCACTGTTGCTCCCTGAGAAGTTACAGAAAAAGCTTAAGAGAGCCTTTATATTAACTTGCAAAAGTTGTTTTGCCATACGCAAAGGCTGCAACTTCCAAAGTTCGTAGAACATTCCTGGACTCATCCAGAATGATTCAGAACACAAACTGCCTCATCAGGTTTTGATATCAGAGATATTTCAGTGGCTGTTATCTTGTGATTTTGTATCTAGAAACCCACACAAGTGTCCTCAACAGAGTAACTCAGAATAACAGATACGGTGACTAGAGAGGATCAGCGTGGATTCCACGGCAAACAAGCTGCAAAGCCAGCAGTCTTGGTTGAAAACCAAATATATCCACGGTCATCATCAGCTCTTCTGAAAATATGAAAACATTCATTATTCACTGCTGTTCTTAGAAGGGTATCACTAGAATAAATAAAATCAGATATGCAAGTTTTGGCTTTGTCAGTCAAGTAGATTTGATTCTCAGTGAGCCGCACTACTGCAAGACAACACCAAACTTCAACAGAAAAGTAATGTTTTCCCAAGGAAGTTTATCATCACTAAATTAATAAAGCTTTGCATTTTCACTCATTCTGTTCAGCTCTCCACCTACATTTGATTTCTCATATCATTGTAATTAATGAAACCAAGGTCAAAGAACTGCCTGGGACAGGCCGAAACATGCTATCTGATGGTAAGATTAAGAGCGATGTCACAAGGCAATTAAGGAAATCGTCTACTAAACGTGCAGCAATTCTTGCCATTTATGTGTGTAGATGGAGACTTCAGGAAAGAAGAATGCAGTCTTGGAGGACAGATTCAAACAAGCAGGCACCAGTTTTACAGCAGATGTATACAAACCTCCATCTATAAGAAGGTGGAGGTCAGCACTGCCAAAATACCAACAGGAACAGTAAGAGTCTGCAGCTATGCTGTGTTTCTTTACTGGCAAGAAACTCCTCTGAACTGGTTTGAGTTTCTGTTCTGTAGGCTTTCAGATCACCATCACAGCACAGAGCATCTGTGAGCAAGACAGTGCAGGTTGCACCTAACTTTTCTGGGGCCTTAATTTAAATCAATGAAGAAAAAAATTGACACTGCTCACTAAAATTTCTACCTACATCGTGCTGGTTTTGCAGCAAGTATGGAATGCAATGGCTCAATGGCTGTTACACAAGATCCAATAACCCTTCCTCTTTCACATGCATACCATGGAAACTCACCCAAACACACCCTTCTTCCCTAGAGGTAGAAGAAGAACCCAAGCAGCCTCACTTCTCTACTCTTAGCTATTTCAACAAACATTCCACCCAGATCACAAATTGCTTTTGACATCTTCCGACTTCCTTAGCTATAAGAAAAAGCCATCGAGCATGAAAGGATTTCTGCTCATTGTCATTCACACTCTTGCAGATGAACATCCTACAGAAAAGTCAGCACCATCACTGTCACTCCTCCTATACCCAAATCAGAGTAGCAGTGTTTCCACAGATCATGCTTTAACAAGATCTCTGTCTGAAATGAAACATCGTTTGCTCTGGAAAATCAAGACTGAAATTTCACACTCGGCATTACTCAATGGGCTTTGGTGAATTAAAAGGGCAATGAAAAGATACACTGTCAAAAACTCACCCCAGACTAGCTGTTACGCTTCCAGTTACTCAGCCCTTCTCATGTATTTTGTATTTCAATCACTGCTTGCAGCATTTTGCAACATTCAAGTGAGAAAGGCAAACCCAGGGAGCATCGCCATCTTGTCCAGGAGGGATAAATTGAAAGTGTTACTTTGTTTTGAAATTCAGCAGCCCTACTCTTGTGCATCCCAGAAACTCCTGTCTCTCCCACTCCCCTTACAAAGGAGAACAGTTTTTTCCTTTTTTTTTTTTTTTTTTTTGGGGGGGGGGGGGGGAGATGAGAGGGTGAGGGAGTAAAAGTTCTTTAAACTGTACGTTCATCTGAGATTTGTTTCCTCTCTCTGTGCTATTTGAGAGTCAAATGCTGCATGCCCTAAAGATATTTTTAAAAAGATGAAATTCCATTTAAAATTTTCTATGATTTCTGAGAAAACTCAATTATTAAAAAGCAAATTATTCACCTTCTCCTATACCATTTTCTCAATTCAAAATTACAGTACATGCAGTCAAAGACTTTAAATGGACGTTAACAATCTCACTTCAAAAAACATCCGTGGGTCCTGAAAAATCACAAGTTGAAGAAACAGGCAGAAGTCTTTCTGGTTTTGATTAGCTGTCTGAATGCACAAACAAACTGGAAGAAAACAACAGCCCTTGTTTCCAAAACAGCACACAGCCCGTGGTGGACAAGTTTGTTAAGCCACAAGACTCCCATTAATTTTAGAGGCCCAGACACTGCAGCTCCACCGGGAGCACATGGGCAACATCTGAGCAATCCAATCCGTCGGCCAATGTGAGAAGAACAAACTCGCACACGGTCAAAAGCATAAAGGAAGTGCAGGTAGTATCACTGTTTGCACTGCAGCAAAGCTAACAGGCCCCAGCTGAGACTATCTCAGGTTTTCTTTGTAGAGTGATATTTGCAAACAACAAAGGTTACCTCCTGCCCAGTGCCCTTTCAGTAGATCTCTTGGTCAGTAGACCAAGACAATCAAGGAAAACCAGCCATACAGAGAGAGAAGTAAGGCATCACACACACTTTTTAACACAAACACAAGGTCTGCCGGCTTACTCGTGACCAAGACAGTACCGCTCTTCTGAGTAAAAAGGTATCATGTCACAACATACCCATCCCCTCCAAGACAGCAATTGCCTTCTTGACATAATGGCTCTGTTCAGTAGTCAGTTTTTACACAACCAATAAATGGCAGCATTTATCATTTATTGAACAAAAAGTATTTTTCTTTGTGTTCTAGACAAAAAGTTGAGAGAGTAACAGAATCCACAGCCACAGTGGTTCCTACGTAATAAGTCTCTCAGCTGCTTTCTCCACCTAAAGCACTTTCATTACCAAGCTACAAAATACGAAGTCAAAGCTCTTTTATTTCTAATTTGTTAGTATTTAATTATTGAACAAGAACTCTTCAAGGTATGTTTACAGAAACCCAGCATGCAAGTACGCAAGTACACTTATCAGAGTATAAACAGCACAAGCATTTTTTTTTTCTTCCCCACAGCATTAAAATAAAAAGGTATTTCTGATCAAGCAGAGGATGTAAAGCAACAACAACAAAAAAAACCATATACACACACACTCAGAGATAAAAAAAATATGTTAATATTTAAGATGGTGGTAAATAATGCATAGCATGTTTTTTTAATTTTATTTTAAAAGTTTATTTATGAGCATGTGTGTGCATTCACATACAGAAAAAACTTGGTGGAAAGAAAGCCAATCAGACCACAAGAGAGCTTTACAGTGTGGTGGTCATATCTTCAGTGCAGGAAAGTAACTCAGTTCACTGGCCAAAGGTACAGGAAACCTTGAGGCAGAACCACACCAGCCTCACGCTCAGGCTCCTCACTATCTTGATATCATGGAGTAACACTCAGTATTGTGGAGTACAAAAACACATTCTAACACTTTCTAAAAGCACCTCTAATCTTACCATGGTCTTCTGCCACCAACAGGATGCCAGCTTCAGCCATTTGTATGCAGATAATGCACTCTTGTGCACAGCACAGACATAAATGTCTGTGGAAATGGTGAAACCAGAACACACCATGCCACACGTATTTCATACAGGTTGCAAATGATGCATGCAAAAACACTGTGGTTATGGGACTCTCAGTTCAGAACAAGACACTACATAATTATGAAAGACCTCTGGATGGGGAAGCCAGCTTAGCATAAAAAAAATGAATTGAGCAAATTATCAAGAAAAGGGAGGGGAGGAAATGAAATGGAAATGCAGTTAAAACCAATTTAAATACAACTGATGGGAGACAAATTGAGTAAAGCATTAAACACAAGGACAAAGGACACAATTATGATGGTCAATAGATTAATGAAAGAGGCAACACAGGCACATACAGTTTTGATGAGCGCCAGATGGAAAGTTATGTTTTCACTGCAAAGATGTGACTTCAAGTCCAGTGAGCCAGCTCCTTGCAACCTGCAGTTTTCATTCAGTTTAGCCAGCCTGTATACCTGGGGTCTGGAGTCTACTTCAGCCTTGTAACCCATACTTCATTTAGTGCTAATCAGGCAGAACATCCTCCCACCTCATGGAAGCAGGCATAAAACAAATCCCCAAAGAGCTCCAATGATAAGCACATTGAGGCCGAGAGCAGGACAGAGCAACGAAGGGCTCTCTCAGCCACGAAACCTAAAAGATTTATTTCCTGCAAGTAAAAACATTCTGTCCCAGCTCTGCTATAAATACAGTTATATTGTACTTGGAAGAATGAAGAAGCTACACAGTATGTTTTCAGTCCCTGCTATTGACAAAACTAATGGGAAGGGTTCCTGCAGTCCAACTAATATTGGCAACTGAACACAGCACCATGCAATTCGAGAGAAGTATGTTGTTTTACACATAAAACAAATTTTCGTTAGAAATACAGCATTGCATAAAATGTCTGTTACATAAATTACCATCAAATTGCCATCATTTTCTCCCTACAGCATTTGACAATTGTCATCTTCACCCTTGCACAGACATGCTGAACTGTAAGTCCTCTCTTATTAATTCAAGCTGTCAGCTTCAAATCAGAAACCCTGAATAGAGGTTTCAAGAGGACTCATCACAATGGCATCAGAATTAGAGGTAGCAGCACTGTAGGTGGTAACAATTGGCTTTTGTTCATGCTCTGCAGAAGGAAATGGAAAGTGCAGAGGTGTCAATCTTTGCCAGTCTAACTTTCTATTTTAACGTAATATAGTTCAGCTGAGGGGTAGAGACAACACGAAAGTCCCAGAACTCAAGCTTGGAAAAGAATAAACAGAAACATTTTGCAAAAATTAAACAATCTCTGTCTGCACGGAGGTTACAGCCACAAACTGCAGCACCTGGAGGTCTCCCCCCTATGCAAATCTAGCACTACTAGATTCAAATTATTTTTTCTGAAGAACCTGATTCGTTTCAGTTTTTTATGTGGAAGCGACTAACACAAAACCAAAGCTGGTACAGAAGCTGCTGAGATAGAATCAAAGAACAGCTTAGGCTGAAAGAGACCTCAAAGTTTGCAGGGGCAGCTACAAGTTGTTCGCGGGTCCGAACCCCACTGTGCTCTCCAGGCAGCCCGTAAGCGCGGGGCTCTCGCGGCAGCTTCTTTCTGGGGCAGCGCCGCCCCGAGAAGCGCGGCACCCGCACGCGGGACGGACGGTCCACAAAGCCGATAGGAACGTCGCCTTTTGGTGGGAGGGGAGGAACGCGGCTCATGGGGGAAAGGCGAGTGAAAAAGGAACCAGAGAAATCAGTCGGTCAGTCGCTCAGCAATCCAGGAAGTTCTGCGCGTTTCACCGCCACTTCCTCGCGCAAATCAATCCCCTCCGCTCACGAAGCGCCCGGGCAGCGCGGGCGGGCTGCGGTCCCCCCAGCGGCACAAGGCCGCGCTCCTCCCGCCTCCCCGAGGGGCCACCGCCGCTCCTCCCGCGCCGCAAACAATGGCAGCACTCCCCGCCGCCGCCGGGAACGGACCGCTCTCCCTGGCGGGACGGCCGCGGCAGGGAGAGGAGAGCGGGAGGAAAGGCGCCCGCCCGCGGCCCGCTTCTCTCCCTCACTCCCTCGTTCCGCCCCCGAGCGCCGGCGCTCCCCTCCCGGTCCAGCCCCGAGTCCCCGCGGGCCGGGCCTGAGGCGCGGCCTCGCGCCGTCCCGTCCCGCCCCGCGGAGCGCCCTGCGGCGCGGCGGGAAAGCCCTGCGGCGGGGCGGCCGAACAATGGCGGCGCGGCGCGGCCAGGCCCCGCGCGGAGGGCCCTGCAGGCGGCGCGGCGGCGTAAGGCGGGCGAGGAAGGAAAAAGGAAAGCGAGGGGAGGAGGGGCCGGGCCGCGCCGGCCCGTACCTGGTTGAACTCCTCGCCCACGTCGGCGTAGATGTCGATGTGGTCCACGCCGTCCGCCATGATCCCGCCCGGCCGCGCCTCGGGCTGCCGCCAGCCGCGCCCGGCTCCGCCGCCGCTGCCGGGAGGGGGGAAGGTGCACGCGGCGTCACTTCCGAGCTAGGAGGGGGAACTTCCGGCGGCCGCCGCTTCTCAGGGGGCCGCGCCCCGCCCCACCCGCCCCCTCGGGGCCGCCCTGGGGCAGAGGGAAAGCGGACCGCACCCGCCTCGGCCCCAGGTGCTGCTTGGGCCTGCGCCCCAGGGCCCCGCCGTTCCCCCTGCGCGCCCTTGCCGGGCCGCGGCGCGAGGTGCGAGGCCCGCCCTCGGATCCTGGAACGCGGAGCACAATGCGCCTAACGCTCTACGCGGTGTGTCGTGTTGTCCGTTGTGTGTGGTGTTGCTCATCCGAAAATAAAGCTGCCTTCTGACAACGAGAAGTTTCTCTTTCACAGACCGAATGGAAAGAGCTTTAAAGACTACAGGTGGATTCAAAATTCTTTTTTTCCGTGAGTGGGAGTGCATCCCAGCTCCTGGATCAGCATCCATGTCCCAGAGCAGCCCTGCTTCATATTGGGTGCAGCACTCGCATGCCTGTCTTGGTGCTCTCACAGTGTAGTTTTATTTGAAAGGAAAGATTTGTGTTTTCCTGACAGAAAAGAGGTGAAAAATCAGCCACAGCAATGGATATGCTGTGGAGTATGCAGTGTGATGGTCCTGCTGTACCTTGGGCACGGAGATGCTCAGGTTGTCCCTGGAGTTCTCATTCAACTTGTGGCACACAAAAAAAAATTGTAACATGTGCAGACCTCTTGTGTTGTTCTAGGTGTTAACAGACAGAAAATCTACAGCTGGGTTTGTACTCGGGTGTATGGGCTTTCCTGATGGAGGAACTAAACCCTCCTTCGAAAGAGCTCTTTGGAAAGGTTCGGAATACCACCTGAAGAAACATTTGCTAAGGTGTATCTAGGCATTGAGTATGGAGATTTAAACCGGATCATGACTGCTTGATGATGATCTTGTTACTTGTAACAACATGAAGCACTTTGATGCAATACTTCTGTCCATCTGTCCAAATTGGACAAAATTACTGAAGAAAAATTAACCCTTCCTAGCCTGACAAGAATTCATGGGAGACAGCAGAAAGCTCTCTCCTGAGTGGCTATCTGGGCACTGGGACAGGCTGTCACAGGAAGAGGCCATAGTCTCAATCACAGAATCACAGAATGGCCAGGGTTGGAAGGGACCTCAAGGATCATGAATCTCCTACTCCCCTGCCACATGCAAGGCCACCAACCTCCACATTTAACACCAGACCAGGCTGCCCAGGGCCCCATCCAACCTGGCCTTGAACACCTTCAGGGACAACCTCTCTGGGCAGCCTGTGCCAGCACCTCACCACTCTCTCTGTAAAGAACTTCCCCCTGACATCCAAGCTGATGGAGTTCAAGAGGTATTTGGACAATGCTCTCGGAAGTGTACTTTGAATGTTGGATGGTGCTGTGTGGAGCCAGGAGATGCACTCAGTGATCTGTGTGCATCCCTTCCAACACTGGATATTCTACGGTTCTGTAATTATATGATTCTATGTTAGGTTGTGTGCACCTAAATGTTTTATGTGCATCTGGATACCTTATGAAAATTGCACATAGATTGTAATTATGTTTCAAAGGGCAAAGAGATTAAAGAATGAATGATAAAGTCATTATGCTCACCTCAGAAACCACCTCAGGGATCACCACTAGCATTTCAAGGACCCTCCAGGGGTCTTTGAAGAGACAGGAAAAGGCATTGCCTCTTCTTTGCTCTGTGAGAGAGCAGAGAGTGATAAACTTGGACTCCCGGCCCCATGCTGTTTTTCTGTGCTCAGGAAGCTTCTCCACTTTGGAGCCTTTGTAAATAGATTCAGCAATTTATTGCACACAGACATGTACAAAATTTAGTATGATTATTTTTGTTCTTGTATACATACCATTAAGCAAATTCTGTAAACAATGTAGGAGACTAAATGTCATGCAAGCTGTTCTATTTACGCTGTGCTATGTTTTCATTCTTTTTGTGAGTAGACTCAATAAATACGTCTCCAAGTTTCTTGTAGTCAGCAACATCTTCTTTATGAATAATTCCCTCTCCATGGAACAACTTAAGATAGATCCACTCTAGTGAAAATGTTAATGCTTCGTATTTTGTGCACATGAAAATCATTTACACCATATGTTGCCTTCTCCCAGTAAAATTCAGCAGGCTGAGCTAGTGTGAGGGCTGAAGCAGAAATGTGGTTGTGAAAGAGATCTTGGTGGCACAGCCTGGTCTTGGAGATGTGTGCTTCTGAAGTTTGTTGGAGACAGCAAGTGATCAAGTGACTGCAAGCCTTCCAGACCCATCTCTGAACAAGAGAGCACACAGATGAGCAGGTGTCTTCAGTCAGTTCTTCTTTCACACTGGTTTCCAACTGATAAAACAGCTGGAGCTTTCTTCCTATCAAAAGCAGGAAGGAAAGGGGGCCCTGACAGCTATGCATAAGAAAGCAGCCCATACCTTAAGTCTGTGTTTCTCATGGATCCCCAGGAGCCTATTTACTTGTATATTGCTCCCTTAGTCTCTGGTGCTGTAATGATGCAAATTCAAGCCTAATCCTGATTTTAAACCTAAAAGCAGCAGCTGGTGCTGTTGAGAGTCTCACTATACATGCATCACCTGCCCACAGACCTTTGTGCTCTCCTCCCAGAGCCCTTCAGGGCCTCTCTATGAGGATGTAAACTGCTGCAAGACAATAGGGAGAAGAAGGCTTTTCCACCCATTTTTATTGCATGTGAATATTTCAAACTGCATGTATATGTACTACTTTTGCTAAGAGCAGCAGAACCAGTTTCAGTAGTACAGAAATTTTAAAAGTGATCTATTTTTGCTAACATCAACACAGGAAAAATGTCTTTTTATATTAAAAAAAAAAAAAGAAGTAAGAAATTTCCCCGAGGAATCAAGACTGAGAATGGCACATGAATTTTCAAACAGACTACTCCTGTAGTAGTGCTAAAGACAACTAAGTGAGAAGTTAAACAATTCAGTAAAATGCTGCATAAATCAACGTGGTGCTCAAAATCAGAAGAGGCCTCAGCCTCCTTGAGATGGACAATGTATGCTTTGTTATATAAACTTATGTCCAAGCTATGTTAGTCCAATGGTACTGAATATATGTTTTGTTTGCTCAGCTGTAGTCCTGAAGCTTTTGATCTTTCCAAAGCTGCCTGGAGCCATTGTACAAGCACTTTTATTGTTGTGTTGTGTTTTGTTTTGTTTTCTCCCAGTAAAATAATCCAAATGGTAGAAATCCGTACAGCTCCAATGGTAAGAAATTGTCTTTTCCACTGAAATTCCTCAGTTTATAAAACCACACAGAGAGCAACTGAGGAGAAAACAAAACAAAGCAAACAAACAAACAAAAAACCAACACAACCACAAATAAAATGCAAATGGGCACAAATCCTTGTTCGTATACTTGCTTTCAAGGGCTGAAATTTTTGGATTTTTTGATGGTAAGATAATACAGGCTGACAAGGAAAGGGGCAGTCATGCTCATGCCCAAGCAAAGGTAGCAACAGCCTGTGCAAGAAAAGAGAGTATTTCCTCCTCACAGGTAGGTGGAGTAAGTCTAACATGAAAGTACAACAAAAGGGCATCCACAAGACCCTCTGCTGACAAAGCTGCTGTAAGAAAGAAGCAGGTGGCAACCCTGCCCACAGCAGGGTATTAGAACTTGCTGATCGTTAAGGTCCCATCCTACCCAAGCAATTCAGTAGTTCTGTGTAGTTCAGTAGATTCTATGGTGCCTTGCCCAGATTTGCCTTTTTATAGGTATTCAGTTCTGTGCTCGGAGTTTCATAGTTTACTCACGCTGCACCTGCCCATCAGTCTGCTCGCTCTCTTGGTTCAGCTACATTCCCTGTAGTTCAGAGCCAGGTTGCAAATTATGGGGAATCAGGAGATGATTCACAAATGGCGTGGATTTCCCAACCCACAAGGCAGGGAGGCGTATTAAGAACAGCAATTACAGGATGAGATATGATAATAGATTTTGTTACCCCATTTGAATCTACCCTGATATAATAAGTTAGAAGGCTCAGTTAGCTTCAGAAGGAGTATGATATAGGATTTTCAGCTTTAAATCACACACTATTTTGTATAATTAGCTTTGTTTAAAAAAATTTCTCATGATTTTACCCTTAAGAAAAGCACTAGAATATTTTATGCAATACCTTATTGCAGCAAATTTCCACTTCTAAATCAACTGAAAGTTTTTAAACTCGTTCAGTGCATTAAACACCTTTGCCTCTGAATGGGCTACACAAATATGCAAATGAAACATCCCAGTACAAGTCACTTTCAGATGTTCGTCGTTTTTCAAAAAAATTTAAGATCAGGAATAACTGAATTCCATGGTTTTTTGTTCATTTTCTAATTTATTTTTCTTAAGGAGTTCATCTGAATTAAATATATACAGATATCTACAGGTCCTGTGGGTGACTGGGGCCATTTTCTGCGACAGTACTATAGTAAAAGAAATGGGAAAAGAGGAGAGGAGAAGAGGTTGGACAGGTAAAAGCCACATCAGGGTTTGGAGGAGTGTATCTCGAAAGAAAATTTTGGGGAAGTAGTTGAGGCTTGCCTGAAATTGTGAGCTAGAGGAAGGGGACTATGTAGATGCAGTGGTACAATGAATTCCTAACTAACATCGTGCCATCCATTATGGCACACTCTGCACATGTGGCACGCTGCTCTACCCATCTGGCTGGGAGCAGGTACCCCACTTCCCCACAGCAGTGCACCAGCACCACAGCAACTTCCACCTCTTGCTGTGGGACATGTCTCCAGCCACAGAAAAATGGCGAAGGAGAGAGAATATGAAGCTAGGGGCCAAAGCTGCAGAAGATGCACCCATGTGAACAGAGGTGAACAGCAGGGCACGGAGGTGTTATGGCTGGGGAACAAGCAGCACTCTGGCAGCTGCCTGCAGGGAGGATGGTGGTTCAGAGGTTTTCCTTCAAACATCCCATCACTATGCC